GTTTCCCACAGACGGCGCCAGATTGTGCGTGCAAGATCCTGCACAATATAAAAACGAGAACAGATCTCTCCCTTGGTGAACTCGAGTGCGCCAGTTGAGTGACCAACCACGCTGCTTGGAACAGCCTGCGAGGTCCGGTGGTAACCTGGAACGGCAACGGGAGACCCTGGGGGAGCGGAAGAACGATCTAGTAAGGCTGAAAGAGGTTCCTGGAACAAAGAAGAACAAGTTAGAAGGGCGCTGGAGTGTTTTCCGGCGTATCCCCTCCGACGATCTAGTCAGTCTTTGAGAAAGAGAGAGGAAGGAGAAAACACTGAGTGTGTATTGTCGTAAAGAGTTTTTTGTTGCATACCCGTCTTGCCTTTTACAATGAGTATTTATACCTCAAAAGCTCATGATTGCTGTCAGTGTAGTCAGTAGGTGATCATTAGGTACAGGCAATGTGCGCACTGATTCTGATGAGGAATGTCTTATCTTCTTAACTGCTCGGGGTCCCGAGCAATCAATGCTGTGTCATCGGGATGCCGACGGTACAATGTGCTCCTCTCGGGGAGGATGCAATAAATGCTCTGTATTAGGAGCATTTATTGCCTTTCATTTCCGATCCTTACCGCATTGAATGCGGTCTTGTCAAGGAAATAGTGTAATTAATCGTTTGCTTTCCCAAGTCGCGTGTCAGCAACGGCATGCGGTTTCTCTGTCTTCGATGTGATATCATACGCCACGCGTCCATCCCCTATTGGCTGTAACCCTTGCATTCCAGTACGTTCTGACACTAATTGTGTAAGACGAGGTCATGGTGAATAGCCTAGGCTAATGACCTATACGTCAATAGCTTATCCTGGAGTAGAGGAAGCATCCAGGACGGGGTACCTCTCAGCACCGAGGAAAGGCTCATCTCGGAACCGAGGGAGGTATGCCGACCGAGGTACCATATCAGACCGAGGCCACGTGTCGGTTGTTAAACATACTGAATGCATGATCCTATATGACGAGTACCTCGGGGGCGAGGACCTTTATGCGCCAATGGTGCTTGATCTTAACAACAGTGTTTTGGTAAATACCGAAGACACGTGTCTTCATCATGGAATATTTCAGAAAAGTCTCATCAAATACTACATTACATTGTTATTAAAATCGTACAATTCAATTCGATTTAATCCTCATCTGACATCGTTTTGACTGTTAGATAGTCAAAACGATATCACTTTGCTACAAGAGGCCTATCTCTACTATAAACTCACATATCTTTTTGTATCTCTTATTCACGTCTCTACCTCTTAAGTGACTATTCAAGCATTTATGAGCATCACATAGAGACGAAGTCTCCTTCACTCTAAATACGTTTCTTCTTCTTCAAAAACAACTACAAAACCCTAACATATCATATTTCTTCTTTAATAAATGTTTTGTTTTTTATTTTTCATCAAACAATTATTTTTCAATTAAATGTGAGAAGTGATTTTCTAAGTTTACATGTTCGAATCAATATGCGTTTTTTTTTTTTTAGCTTAACTGTCACACTCCAAATTTTTTTTTTTTTCCTTTTAAAAAAAATACCCGGGTGTGATTAAGGAATAAAGTTTACCGAACGTACAATAATCTTCCTTATATTATTTTATTTTTCGTACGAGTACATAATCCTCACAAGATCATTTCAAATATTTTTGATACAACATAAAGATAAATAATAATAACAGACTCTATCCTTTCAGCCTATATTTCAGTTTGACTTCATATATTTGAAAAATGGTAAATAGGGATGAGCTCACCAGTTCAGTAGGATAACATTTATCAATGACTACCAAGGTTTTAAGACAATAAATAATATAATTAAACCGTGAATAAATGCAGGAATAGGGCGAAGTAATGAATCAAATAAATAAATAAATTTTAGCAGATATTGATCATATCAATCTGTCAATTTTCTGGTCCACACATAAACCGCCTCCGGAGAAAACTTTGGAGTCTTACACCCTAGGGAACCCAATGCCCTTCTTGCTTTTCTGGAAATACCAATACCGAAAATTATGTGGTGCCACACAGGCTACCACGGCAACCGATATTACTAACCGGTGAACCCAAGAACTAGTAGGAATCCTGAGAATCTTCGCAAGGATCACACATCTACTATCCCTCTGCCCTCGATTATGTGCATTTATAGTAATCCCAAAATAAAATCATTTCTTAGTCAGACCCCACAGCAAATCAAACATTAAATATTAATAATGAAATAGATATTTATTATGCAACATGGTTTCATGAGATAATTAGGGTCTCGATAAAGAAAATACAATATGTGCATGATAACGATTTATTTATAAAACTTCAGTTTGACCTCATGATATAATATTACATTTTATAATTAAAAATAAATTTGATATGAAACCTCCAAATATGCATAGAATGCATTAATGATAGTAAAAGATAAAAGAAACCCTACCTCTTTCTTGACTTCTATTCTATACCGTGTACTGTGAAAAAATAATTAAAATAATATTTTAGAATAACAATAGGTACTAAGGGCTTAATAATTTTTGGAGTAACAAACGAAAGATAATAATACTTAAATTTGATCTGAAAATATTTAATGCAGATCAACTTTAAGTGACTCGAACATATAAAAGTAACTAATTAATAACTAAAAACTCTTGCCCAAAGTTTTGATCGCAACCACAAATTCTTAGATCAACAAAATTTTTGACCCCTTTTTCTCTCTTTCCTCTGTTTCTCCCTTCCTTTCTTCCTCCCTTTCTCTCTTTTTTTCTTTATGCCGTTCAATGCTACTAATCTTGGCCTCCAAGGAAGCCATGGACAGGCGTCTATTTCCTCACCATGTTTTCCTTCTTTTTTTTTCCTTTGTTGCATGTGTCTTAAGCTTGTAAACTTCCTAAAGATGGCCCCTACATATATATATAGATATGCTTGTCCTTTCACCTGCACCTGCACACACACACACACACACGCCCACACATATATAGATATAAATATGAATATATTTGTTATAATTTTTGACCTAAGCTATAATTATTTGACTCGTTTTCACGTGAAGAGTTCATATTTGAGGTCTATTTGTTCATAAAAAAAATCAACTTTTTATCTATTAATATAAAATCATAATTGACGACCTAATTAGCGTGTCGATAATTAATTTATATACGGATCGTCACATTAACTTCATTGGTGGGAAGACAATATCTATTTGTTGGTTAAAAATTATGCATCTTTTGTCGTGGCTATTTTGAATGAACGATTTCTTATTCGTTAAGAGAAAAATAACAAAGGTACAAACTCAAGTACAGCTTTATAAAGATTTATAAATGTTAGTATCTTTTCATTTATACAACATTATAATTCTAATACCGCCAATTAATTATTTTTAAAATACAATAATTTTTAATATTTAATATCTTACTTATTTTAAATATATACATACTTTTTTTATTATTGTTTTAATTTTATGTCGAATTTTACGATTCCCCATTTTTAAATCTAAGATTTCAATTCTCAATAAAAATCTCGATTTGATAACTATGCTAAAACATATCAAACACTTCAAATGTTATAGTTCCTGGAAAGCCTAGGCAAAAAAATGAACCACAACACAAGCTCCAAAGAGAAGATTGGTTACTTATTGCTTGGCATATGAGACAAACATGGGAACCCATACATGGCAATTGAAGCGTAAGATTGGCACCACAGCTGCATCTTTTTGCCCTTTGCTTTCCTTGGCGAGTAGGAGCCTCCAAGTGACACCAACCGATCCCCATCAGTTACATTGGATAAAACCAATGCCTATAGTTAAAAACCACTGACATGTCAAGGTCTAAATTCGAATTGATTCTAGTCCTGGTCAGAGACTAATGCATCGAATTGATTAAAAAGAAGCCTGCCACCACTGTCTTTCCTAAATTTTGCCCTTCTTCCTCGAATTGATTTTCGAATCTGAATTCTGGAAATGTAAGGTTGCAACTGGAAAATTTTGAAAGGGATAAAAGAAACCAGCCCAAAATGGGTGCCTATAATTATTTACACTTAATTGGAACAGAACAGATTTTTGATACATATAATAAGAAATAAAAATTATCATTAACTAAGCCAGCATATTCCAATTTTTGTAGTGTGGACAATACTTCAGAAGGTAGGCATAGGACACAACCACTAACACCATAACCATAATCCTTTTCATTACTATACTTTGCTTCACTTCTCCAAAGCTTCAAGAATAGAAGCTGTTCTGCCCACTTAAACAGAATTTTGTCGTTGGGTCTCACCATATTTATCTGTCATGAATAGGAAGTCCACCCGTTAGTTTAAGTTTGCAGGCTAAGAAGTATGGCAGGGTCTGTTACATATAACTCAAATTCTTAGTTAATAGAAGTTTTTCTGATTCTCTGTTTTTTGACCTACTTTAGCTTTGTACTCAGGTGTTTCATTTACAACGGTGATTTATGATTTTTATAAAATTTCATGCTACACACATTATTTATAGTACTGCGACCTTTGCAACATGGTATCTTAGTTTTGTCAAGACTAATGTATCGATTCCTGCTTGTTTAGAACTCTGGAAAGGATAAATGATAGGTGACCCTATAAAATGGGCAGCAATGCATACATTTCAATCAGTGGCTGTTGCATTAAGGACACAGAGATGGCCCATGGGTTTGTATTTCTTTTTGAATTCACAACTGTTAAATAAAATCAAAATACAGATACATCTGTAAATCAGAAGTATTGAATCAATTAGAATGTCTTTTATAAGATTCAAACTAAAGACTTCGACCTTTTAACTAATGAAGCTCTGTTATCCGAGCTTTCATAACAGGTTACTTATTTCTTAATCTTTCTCTGATTAAGCTTTCATAAACTAAGCTTGGACAAAATTGATTATGCTGAATAACTTTACTGTCCCATCTTCCTCAAAAAGGCCACAAAAAAAAAAAAAAAAGACAGAATTGCTAGGGAAAATAGTCCATGCCCCAGGGCATGTGGTGAGAAGGCTATGCCCACTTTGCCATCAAAGACATGAATCCAGCGCCCAATAGAACTGCACAATAAGCCCATATTTGAAGCTTCATACTCTTTTGTAGCTTGAACCCCATAAAATCAGACGCTAAAAGGTCCACCAATGCCATGTAGTTCAGTAGGCCTGCCGAAGACGCACTTAGTATACCCACCACGATCAGAGCTTTTGGACTATTGTCGCTATACACATTCGACAAACCAATTCCAAGCGCTATCCCAAATGGAGTTGTGGAAGAGAAAAAGAAAACCATGATCGCCGTCGTCTTAATACCATATGCAGCCTAACCACATGTAGAAAGTTAGAATTCTGTATGAGGAAGAGAACATATCATTAACTAATAAGAGTCCAACGCCAGACGCGTTGTTGTAAGAGACCTGCCCACCCTTTTAGGGATGACGGAATTAATATTTGGGCTTGTTAGAAAATAGATAATTTTACCTGTAGTATGCATCCACCCAGACCCATTCCTTCAAACAGTTGGTGGAAGCACAGAGCAGCTATAAGCGGCCTGATTGTGCATGGATTCTCAGATGCCCCCATTGAAAGTCCAATTACCACCGAGTGCACAATAATTCCCAGTTCTAGTACCTGCCAAACATTATAATACTAAGTTTATACAGTGCTTGCTTAGACTTTCACAAATGTTAAAATTCTTGATGATTTGGAGTAGTATCAGTTAATTAAAAGACCGAAGAGAGAGATGAGCAAATCATTTGGGTCTAGGGTCAAGGCAATGAAGTTCAACAAAATTTGGTACCTGAGCTATTACGCGATGTCGTAGCAATTGAGAGGCCTCAACATCTACAAGCCCATCAAAACCATTTCCATGACAATGTCCAAAACTTTGCGATTCCACATGCCCATCCATCACCTGCTTGCCAGACTCCACTGTTCCTCCTCCACAACAACGTTTCTTATAATAACTCAAAGCAAATGAATCCACCATCAAGGTCACTATAGCAGAAAGCATTGCCACAAAAGTCGCAAACGGAAACTTCCTCCACGGGTTTTTCGGCAAACACTCCGACCTCAAGCAATCAAATGAATCTGGCATGACATGCATGTACCCGGTCGCGAGTATCACGCCCGACGCGAATGCTTTGACAATAACAAACAAATCTTTGTCGGGCTGAAGAGCAGGTACAGCCCGAGACAATATGGGCAAGGTAACACCGATCATGCTAGTTACTAATATGGAAGCAATTGCGATGAGTTTGAGCTTGAAGGCTTCAGTTTTATTGTGACATCCATTACCGTAACTCGAGGTACATTTTGTTCTGGTAGCGTTTTCAGATTGGCCTAAAGTTTCTGATATGAAAAAGATGAGGAAGAGGAGAGAGATTAAGAGAAACTTTGGTGAACTGGCCATGATGCTAAAGGGAGTTGTGTAGAATGACAGTAGAGTTTGTTTTACAGCCAAATACTTGGGTTATGGTTGTGGTAACTAATCTTGAAATGATTTAAGGAGACAGAAAGTGTTGTTGAAATGGCGAAATTGGCCTTCAAATGAACCTGAAATAAACTACTGTCATCAGTATTCCCCTGTAAATTTGATAATTGATAAGGGTATTTTTGAATAAGTGATCATGACAAGAAAAACTTGTGCTTTGGGTGTAGAGAGTGTGGCCCACCTTGATTTTGACACTTGCATTCCACAGTGAGCTCGCCCCTTAAACTAACTTTTACTGATGACTAGGATGACATGGCATCTGACATGGCATTCTGTTTCTGTTCAGTTTTTCTAATCAACAAGCCTAATCTTTAAAAAAAAAAAAAAATTATTACATTTTCACTAATAGTATTGAGATATAATTTAAAAATATAATATATTATAACTATTGGATTCATAGCAGAGTACATTTAATTTTGAGATTCATCGATAATCGAATAGTCATATTCATTATGTTCTCAATTTATATTCCTAAATTATGTCACAATAACATTACTCTTATATTTTAAATTTATTCAAGATGAATGATATTTTAATATTTGAAAAGAAGACGATATGAATAATCTCTAATTTCGGATCAAACAATTATTTAATTTATATATTGATACCATAATTACAATTGACTCTCCAAATTCAAATAAGTGTAATATAATAAGAGACTCCATTCCATTTATTCTGCATTTCTTCAACAAGTAACAAAACTTACCCACATAAACAACTTAGTCCAAGTATGCTCACCCAGACATCTTGAACTGTAATACAAACAAAAATAAAAACAACAGACATTGCTAACAACGTTTAACTTAATTGCAGGAGAATGGGAGTAAAATTCAGAGAGTTAATCACAGAGCCAGAACAAGATTTGGCACCGATGTATTGTCAGTGAGCTTACTCTGCCACAAACACTGACAATTAGCCGAATGGGAAGAAGACTGTGACTTCCCCAGACGAGTAACCATTACAAAAGTATTCAAGTATTCTCTCAGCTGGGTGATTATCCCATCAGTGACAGTCCAAGCATGTACCCATGAAACTGATCTGATTTTGTCGTATCCCTCAACGAGGACCGTTGATCCGAAGGCCACGATGGAAAGGTGCTTGCACAGGAACGACTCGTCTTCCGGTGAGGCGTTGCCGGTGAGTAATGGCATCATGTTTTGGTGAGGCGAACCGCATTCCTTGTCTGGCAGAATTTTTTTGGATCCACGAGATAATTTTAGGCGCATTTTTTATCCTTGTATCAGACCTCTGGTGGTAAAGGTCAGGTTGCAACTTTTCTAGTACGTTGTACGACAGTAATTTTACATGATATATATATATTATGTTATTTCGAGACAATATTATGTTATGTTTATTCGTTGTTACGATCTATATCGATGGTTCGTGTGTATATATTAGTAATATATTTTGTGTAACTTATATCAATAATTGATAAAAAAAATTTACTCCAAATCACACATTTCCTAAAATTAAATGTTTCAATTCTAAAGTTAGTTAGCTATTAGATTTTTAATGATTTTTAATACGCGATATTATATTATGAATATCTATATAATAAAGTAGAACGAATTTGAATTTTGAAGACAAAGAGTAGTCTAGATCATTTCATGACCAAAAAAAATATCATATAACAAACAACGTTATCTCAAACTGTCTCGAGCTATTGACGTTTCAGATCGTTTTGATCCGATGTACCACATTAATTCATTTGAAATATTTTTACTACTCAAAATTTATAGTTTGCAAAATTGATATTCCAAAATTTAATTTTCCCAAATCTTTTCCTTAAATCAAGCAAATCTCTCTCTCATTCCTCTGTATCTCTCTCTCGCGCTCAATTCATGCAAAAAATATTAATTTTTCACAATATTTTTCTTTGTATTTCTCTTTGTGTCTCATGAAAATATTAAATAGTGTATGATTCAAGCAAATACTACATCAATCTGTAGATCGATAGTATATATCACGGAAAGATAGTTTATTACGAAAATATTTCTCTGTATCTCTCTGATGAAAAATTATGTAATAAATATTAGATAGATAGTATATATCACAAAAATATTCTTCTATATCTCTCTCTTTTATTCAAGTAATACTACAAACATGAATCATACAAATTCAATAATCAAATTTTTTTTTCCATAATCAATAAAAAAAAACATAACTTGCAAAAAATATAATTTAACAAATAAAATATGTTTAACATGTAAAATATACAAGATTAAATTCAAGTTATTGGGCAACTCAGATATCAAGAGATATATTAAAAAAAATATGCGTAACATTTAAAATATACAAGATTAAATTCATTTACAAACACAAATCATACAAATTCAATATTTAGTGAACAACATAAAACAACAATATTTATTCAATAATCCAAATCTAAATATTTGAGAAAAATGATACAAAATTACAAGCAAGAGAAACAATACAAAATTATAAGCAATACTATAAACACGAATCATACAAATTCAATATTTAGTGAACAATACGAAGTAACAATCTTTACCAAATAATTCAATACTAAATAACATTTAGTTTAATAAAATATACTAAAATATAAATAACCGAGAAGAGTGATATAAAATTAAAAACATTACTATATTGTAAGTTGATGTTATAAAAAATATTAGCAGACTCATTTTGTTCGTCATTTATTACAATATTGTATTTTACTTTACATTTATGTATGGACAAATATTTGTAACTAATTTAAGAGTAACACCGTGCCTTCCGGTACAGGCAATTGCTAGTATGTTTATACAATACTAAATCTTATATTTTTGGGTTAAAAAATCGTATATGTGAGTCACTATGTAAGTATGTAAGGAAAAATTAATTTGTTTTCAATTCATTTTTATTTGTAGATTAGGAAATGAATATAACATACATAGATATAAATATAAAAATAGATCAAAAAAATAAGATCAAAACATATGTTAGGATATAACTGATTTTACAATATTGATTATAGACAAAATAGAAAATCAAAAGTATACATATATGCATAGGTAGTATAGATCAATATAGAGTGTACATCTAGCTATAGTGTTTATAAAAGAGTTCAAAATATAATTTTAAAGTTCAACAGGCATGCAAAACCAAAAATTATGGTACCATTGACTTTACAATAATAATTAGTAATAAAATAAAAACAATTGACTTTACTACAAGAAAATTGGAAATTTGTCCACAGATAGTTTATCGTTTACATAAATGTCAGATTTTTTTTTACCATTTTTTATTTATTTATTTTGTTCCTTCTTTTAAGGAATGAACCCACACTCCTCATCCACTTGAAGACTGCACCACCAACTCTCAACAAAAAATTGAAGCAAAACCTAAATACTATGTTCCACCACACGAGGGTGAATATGAATAAAATTCTACCATTGTTGGACTACCTAATATTGTAGTTAGGATACACCTTTTGTGATTATAATTCTAATCCCCGCAAGTGAGAGTTTTCTCCAAACTCTTCTACATTCTTGTAATTAATCTGAACAGTTATTATATATATTAATCCACACTAACAATTGTATACACATTATCTTTCCAACCAATCATTAACTAACAATGGTCCACACAAGCACACCTATTATCTTGAACACAAATATGGAATGCTACTCCAGCACCTATTCATTTTTTACCTTTTAACAACAAGGGTTGAGAATTCGAAATGAAATTTTTTATTTGTCTCTTCCTAGTTGTCATGGGAATGAAAGGTAGAAATAAGAAAGAGAATCTTCCTTGGGGGCTTGTTCAATCCAAAAGATATAAAAAAAAAATCAAGTGATTAAGCAGGGATAGGATTTGAACCCATAGTCTTCAGGTCATGGGCCTTTGGATCTTTAACCTCATACAAGCTTGTCAATTTCTCTTTCAATTCAGCCTTCAATAAGAGTATAAAAGATAAATAAAAATTAAAAACAAAAATAACCCAAAAACAAAAACAAAATGAGAAAAGACGTAAAACCTTGGAGACATGGGGTGTTCTTGGATGTAGAACATCAATGACCAGTATCATAACAACTAAAACAAAAATGACAAAAATAGGCATATATATATGAAATTAAACAATAATACATTGACAAGAGACAATATGATCACAAAGGACTCGCAAATTGCTTCCAAGAGAGAAGCCGTTTTGTCATAAACTTCCTGGTTCGGTTCATCACCGCCTTGCTCCTATAAAATATAGCTTGTTTAGACATCCATATTTGGCCCTGTCTACAATTTTGACAGATTTGATAAAACATTATGTCTCAAATATTGATCTATCACAAACATAATGGTGCTTTTTTGTGTCAATGGTCTAGGGAACCACTCATATTTGTTTAAGCCTAGATCAGGTCCTAGTATAAGTGATCCATGAGCTCTACACACCCACAATATAACATGTTCATTGTTATACAAGATAAACATAGTAAAAAGAATGCAGAATTTAGACTGAATTTATAAATTACGATCTTCGTTCATTACCTAATCATCGTCCTCAAACACTTGAAAATGTAAAATACACTACTTGGTTCCAATTCAAACCCCTGGACGGAATCTACATCACTATAGCGAGGTATCACTCCATTCTTGGTATATCCTTTCTTGTCATACCTCATAAACCTACATACAAGGGAATTTTTTGCAAGAAATCTAAAAATATCCTTCTTTCTTTTTAATCTAAGACATTTGCAAAAGAAGGTAAATTCATGTGGAAGAAAGAAAAGTGTCTGTTTTGGAAGGAAAGAAGTTGAATATTCATTATTCATTAAACCTAATTAAAGAGGAGAGGATAAGTTCACATAAAAAAAAAAAAAGGAAATGTGTATGTTTTGGAAGGCAAAAGGTTGAAGATTCATTATTCATCAAAGCTACTTAATATTTATTTACATAAATATAAATAATTACCTAAAATAAAATGAAAGGAATTAAAGAAAAACTAAAGGACATGTTGGATGTGATGAACATTATAAGGATAATTAAGGATAAATTTGGTACTTAAAAGCTTTTCACTTTACCTTGCTTTTATAAGCAACTAGCAAAGCATGTGAATAATTTTTGTATACAAAATATTAATAAAAAAATATTAAATATACGTATATTTACATTAAACATCATTTCAAATTTATCAAAATTATATTTATCACTCGTATTATACTATAAAATTGGAAAAATTATGTATATTCTCAGCGATCTATTGTTCTAACTATAAGAAAAAAGATAAAAATAATTCATTTGAAATTCATTTGATTAGGTTTCAACTTATAAGTCATTGAATAAAATAATAATAATTATCAATATTCTAATCAATGCTTATTATAATTAGCAATTAGTTAGGTCAATAGGAATAAAATATAGGGTTAAAACAATTTGGGTCTTTAAAGTATGTGGCTTTAGTCAATTTCGTCCTTAATATATGAATTTTGTTAATTTAATCCAGAAAATATTCAATTCTTGTTTAAATGGCCCCTAAACAAATGGTCTCTTAAATTTTTTAACGAGAGTGACCACGTGTCATTCCGTCAGATAGTATCACGTAACCAACACGTGATCATTTATGTCAAAAAGTTTGGAAGATTTCGTCAAAAAACTACATAAAAGATTATTTTTTATCTTAAAAAAGAAATTGTTGAAATTTTGGATAAAAAAAATATACATATATAAGTATAATGTTATCTTTATATTTGAAATGAGTAATGTTAGATAGATGAAAGTTTAGAAGATTTTTTGAACATTGTATTGAAAACTATAGTGATGCATATATTTTTTAAGGGTAATGTAGTCAATTAAAAAATTTCATAGATATTGATATTCATACATAGTGAATAGAGAAGTAAAAGAGATATTAGATATAATTTGGATATATAAACACATAAGTATATTATGGTAAATTAGATATTTAACTACGAAAGGATTGTGTGGTATTTAAAATTATTTATAAGAGTAAAATAGTGAATCAAAAATTTTTCATTCTAAGGTTCTGTTTTTAAGTAGTGTAGATTATTAGTAGTATAGATAGAAAAAAATATATGTATATAGACATAATATTATTTTTTATTTGAAAAGAGCAATGATCAATTAATAGACTTTTTGAACACGTTATTGAAAAATATAATAATACATATATTTTTTTAAGAGTTGTGTAGCGAATTAAATTTTTTTATAAATATTGATATTTATACAAAGTTCATAGAGAAATAAAAGAGATGTTAGAGGATAATTTGAA